GAAGTGGAGAGAGCTTTGGGAGAGCCCTGCGACACTGACTCGAAATTGTGCATTTTGGGCTTTTCCTGGCCAAACCGATGGCGTGGGATTGGTGCCCGCTGGAAAGCGCGGCCGGTGGGCGCGGGGGGAGCCGGGCGGCGGGGCTCCCCGTTCCCCTTTTCCCGAGGGACGAGGTTCGGGGCTGCAGGGCTTTTGGGGGGGAAGGCAGCCCTTCCCGAGGGAGCCTCTGGCTGCTCTGCCCTGCTCCAGGGAGCCCGAAATTGTGGTTCCCAAGGGCGGGGGCCCGGGCGGCTCTGGGGTGCCCCAGCTCCGGGAAACCGTTTGGAGCCGCTTTTCGGGCGCTTTTGGGCTCGGGCGCCGCCGCCAGCGGCAGCCTCAGGAAAAGGAGCCGGGTTTCACAATGGCTCAGTCCTCCCCCGGCCGGGCAGCCCCCGCCGAGCCGCCTCCTGCCCTGAAAAACCCCAAAATTGGTTTTTTTTTTTCTCTGTGCCCAAGGGGCCGCGCACGGCGCTTCCCTCGCCGGCACCCCGGGAAGAGGCTGCGCTGCTCGGGCATCACCGAGCTCAGCCCGGCTGGGTGACAGCTCCCAGCCCTCCCTCCCAGCCCAAACCCCCCCAAAAACCCCCCAGCCTTTAACCCCTGTGCTCCCCCGGAGCCGCCGCTGCCGGCAGGAATCGCCGAGCGCGGCCAGCGCGGCGTGCGCCGAGGTAACACCGCTTGAATTTCAACCAAATTGCCAAATTCCCGCTGCTCCCGCCGTGGTAATTTGCTTTTTGGTTTCGCTATTAATGCTGGAGGGCTGCGAGGTCGGCGGCGTCGGCTTTGGGCTGTAATTCACAGCCCCGCTGATTTCATCCACGCTCCGCCGCCAGCACCGCGGCTCGCCCGGGGAATTTGGGATGGGGACGTGCCCGGGGCTGGGAAAAAGCTGGGAAAAGCTGTTTGGGAAGGGGAAAAATCCGCTGGGCGAAGCGGGGCTGAGCTTGGCTTCTCCTGCGAGTGAGAGATGGGATTAATTCCTGTCCAAGCCGGGCTGCTCCAGGGGATGGGCAGGGGCTGGTTTGGTGGTACCCAGCGCTGCCCTGGGGCTCGTCCCTGCCTTGGGGACACGGATTTGGGCAAGGGCTGATTTTGGGGTTAACTCTGCCCTTTTTCTCGTTGTGCTGTGGTTCTGCTGTGCCTGCCCTCGCCGCTGTACCCTCGTGAAAGGTTGCAAGCAGTTTTGGGAACACGCTGTCTGCCTGAAACATGACAGAATCGGCCACAAATTGCAGATGAGACTGATAACAAAAGCCAACAACAGAAAATAGGTAGAAAAACAACACGGTGGAGGCTGAGAGACCACTGAAGGGCTTTTTTTTGTGTGTGTTTTTTTTAACCGGTTCTCTCATGATGGAAGTGAAAACACATGAAAAGAGAAATGTCTTTTGTTCTCCCACTCGAATTAAGATGCTCCGGCACCAAACCAGGGCTGAACCCCGTGGCTGGAGCTGCTGCCCAGCCCAGGGACTCGTAAATCAGCATTTTGCCACCGATGAGGGTGGCTGGGTGCGCTTTTGGGGGGGGTTATGGTGCTTTTTTAACCCTACAAAACGCTCCCTGCAGCACGTGGGTAACTCAGCTCATTTTCTCAACCCAGCCCGCTCCACCTGAACGTCTCAGCTCGAATAAATCAGGCTCCAGCTCAGAAATTAGGATGAGGTTTTTGTTTTCGTTCTACTTATTTCATCTTTGTTTTTATAAATAAATACAAATCACTCAAACTGAAACTCGATGGCTTTGGTGATAATCAAAGAGCAGCCCTGGGGAAATTTTTCTTCATTACCATGTTCTTTCACAGCCCACACTCGGGGTTTCGGGAGGAAAACTTCTTAACCTTTGCAGCAGCAGCACCCGATGCTTTTTGAAGTCCCGGCACGCTCAGACTCGGGGTTCACATCCCCGAGCTGTGTCGGCATCACCTTTGTTTTAGGGCCATGTGGAGAGGAGAAATTCTCTCACCCCCCCCAGCCTTTTCTCCCCTCTGTTCACCCCTTTCACCTCCAAACAAAAAATAAAAACATAAAGAACCCCCAAGAAAATGTTGGGCTCTCCCCTTGAAGGGCTTGGGTTTTGTTGTTGTTTTTTCAGTTCTGTGGGGCAGCTCTGTTCTCTACCAGCTTTGTACAATGTGTTTTAGTATTTGCAGCTCACTTCCTGTATGAGGTTACTTTGTTTATCATAAAACCCCTATTTTTAAACCCATTTCTGCCAAAAAGTCATTTGAATGGTGATGGCGAGCGCTCGTGACTGTCCCCGGCTGACGGGGGTGACTCCGGTGCCCCCGGGAGGGATGGCTGTCGGAATGTGGGCTCAGGGGGGATCCCGTGGCTCTTCCCTCAAATCTCATGGGGATTATTTCTGTGAAAGTCACCAGGATTTCTGAGAATCCTGACGTTTTTAGCTCGGGGTCGCGCACGTGGTGTGAGGATGCTGAGAGGCAGAGCTGCAGCGCTCACCGTCCTTTCCATCCTCAGGGAACGGCCACCGTGCCACCTTCCAACTTTATTTTCATTAATTACCGGCCAGGAGAACTGTGGGATTGTCAAAAAGCTGTTGGCTCGGCCCGCTGTGCCCGTAATTGCGGCGAGATGAGGCATGGGTTAATTAGCGGCCCGCGAGGCCGGGAAGCGCCGGCTCCCCGCTTGTCCTCCCGGGAAAAGGGATGGAGGAGCCTGTCACAAACCCAGCGAGGAGAGATCCATCAAATCTGGGAAGAACGGGCCCTGTATCCCCACAAGGGCCATGTGAGGCCCCCTGAGCTCCACGGGAGCGGCTGCTGTTGGAACAGCGGTGTCTCCATCAGGGGGAACCTCGTTGTCTGCCTTTCCTTGGGTTGCAGGGCTTCATTTTTTCAAAATTGACAGAAAAGAGGTTTGGGATGCTCAGGAAGGGCAGCAGGAAGGTCCCCTTGGTCCAGCCGTCCCTGAGCTTGTTTTGCACCCTATAAAAACCCCGCTAGAGCACCTTTAACATCCTTTTGTTGCTCTTAGGGACCTCCCCAGTATCCAACACTTCCCATTTCCGCCTGGTGTGACCCCAAGAGAGGTGGAGCATCCAAGGAGCTGCCAGAAAGGCAGAAAAAGCCGCTGGAAGGAGTGAGCTTTGTTGCAATATGAAAATCAGATGCAAAGCTCGGGGGGTATTTTTAGCTGGTTTAGGCTGCACAGGTGTTTGAAAGGTCAGCGGCGAGTCATTGGAAAAAAAATAAATATATTTCTTTCCGTGTGTGGGGAGAGCCCGGTGTCGCTCCCGTGCCTCTGGATGACTGGAATCTCACCCTCAGCTTGGGTTGCTCGGCATTCCCGAGGCCAGGGGGCCGTGGGAGGGCAGGAACATCCCGGTTTTGCGTGTCCCCAACAGCACGAGCAGGTGGCAGCCAGGGGTGTCCAGCTCTGATGGACACGGGGAGCTGCGGCTTTTCCCACAAATAAAATCTGGGAGTTCGCTCCTTTTTAGGGAACAAAGGCAATTCCTCATCCTTGGAACAGAATTGTCTGGGGGTTTTTGGGAGCTCCTGGAATTTTAGAGCATGGAGAGGGCCTGGCTCGTGGGGAGGAGCCACCGGTGTGGCTTTGGTGGGCCCGGGCCACAGCCAGTGTGGGCTGAGGCCAACCTGAGCTAAGCTTGGTGGACCCGTGACCACTTTGGGCTTGGCCACGACCAACGGGCCACGAACACCTTTGTGCTGGCCACGGCCACCTTGGCCCTGGCTGGCCTGAACCGTGACCACCTCGGATCTGGGCAAGGCCGGCGTGGGCCGTGGCCAAGCTGGGCCTGGCTGTGGCCAAGCCGGGCCGGGAACACCTTCAAGGTGGCCCCCTTGGAGTTGGCCACGGCCAGGCTGGTCCTGGCACGTGCCGAGGGCAGATCCCGACATTCCCTTCTGGTTGTGTCACCAAGGATGCTGGGCTGGCCAGCAGCTCCTCCCAGGCCACAGCAGGGTGGTGTCCCAGGTGTGACAGCTCACCTGGACACATCCAGCAGCTCCCAAATTCCAACAGAACCACCAGCAGAGCAGAACCAGCAGCTGCCACAGCCTCGGCCCGGCAATTAGACCTTTTTTTTCGTGTGTGTGAGTTAAAGAAGCCCCCAAAATAGCACCTGAAACCAATAAACTTCCCTTTCAGGAACTTCTGTAATTTGAAACACACTCAAGAACAAAAAAAAAAAAAAAAAAAAATCCAGAATTTTTTTTAGGTTGTTTATCAAGTAGGACTTGGGGGAGTTGTTTTTAAATCCCTTTCAGGTGGTGACTGCTGAGGAATAAGTGGAGGGATAGGAAAGGGAGGGACAAACAGGATGGAGGGCCAAGGTGGAAGGAAGGTGGGATGGGAATTTTTAGGAACAGATGTAAAACTATAAAATAAAAACTGCCATGTGAAATAATGAAAGGGAAAAAATAGTGATGTTCCTTAAGAAACTCAAAATACTGTTAATAAATGCATTAAATAATAAAATAAAAAGAAAACAAGACACAAAACATAAAATAAACCCCAAAACTTCTTCAATGCCAGTGGAAACCAGCCGGGGACAAGAGGTGCATGGAAGGGGCTCCTAAACTGAGCTTGAGCCCACGACCACATAAATGTGAGGAAAAGCAAAAAAAATTCCAAGGAATCCCCAAGTAACTCCCAGCTGGAGCAGCTTTTGGGGTTGGGAACACCAAAATGGACAAGGGAATGCATCCAAAATGCATTTTGGGTGGCCTGAAGCATCTTGGAGCTTCAGAGAATGGAGATGGGAGCACCAAAATGGAGATGGGAACACCAAAATGGAGATGGGAGCACCAAAATGGAGATGGGAATACCAAAATGGAGATGGGAACACCAAAATGGAGATGGGAACACCAGGTATGGAAGGAGAATGGGTAAAAGAATGGGGAAAATTTGTGATAAAGCAACAAATACCCTCTTTTCAGGAGAACTTCAATCCCCACAAAAGAACCAGCACTCAGGACAAATAATTGAAAGTTTTTATTCATATAAAACTCATATTAAGGACATAAAAGATTCTTAAAAACAAAACCAAAAAACAACCCCCAAAAAAAAAAAAACCAAAACAAGGCTCTTGCGATTATTTACAGCAGTATTGCACAAGTAAAGTGGCAATTACCCTGTCCAAAATTCATCAGTGCAAAACACAAGGAAGGCAGGGAAATTGCAGTCAAAAATGCTACATACGCTGGGTCCTGCGACACGATTTAGTGATGCACGCGATCCCACGGGACGGCTGCTCCAGGAAAACCTGGCTGGAGCAATCCCTGGGGGGGTGGAAGAGCCAAATTCCAAATTCCCACTGAATTTCACTAATGCTGAAGTCTTTGATGTGCCTAAATCACTCCTGGGAAGTGGGGACTTAGGCACTTGGAGAGGAAAAAAAAAAAAAAAAGATTAAAATCTTGTTATCCACACCGCGATGGCTTTGGAAGGGGATCCAACACTTCTGGCAGGGAGGAAACCAAATCTTCACAGGAACTTAAATAAGCAAGAAATAAATATACAACATTTCTACAAGTTACAGCATTAAACAGTAGAGTGCATTAATTACACAGGGGGGAGAAAAAAAAACCAACAAAAACAAAGAAAGGACCTACAGTATTTACCAACTCTAAAAAAGTGTAGGAAAAAGAATAGGAATTTTTTATTTTTTTAATTTTTTTTTTAGGTTTTTTGAAAGTGTTTCTAAAGCTGTACAAAACTTACAGGAGAGAAAAGGAGAGGGAGTACATTGCACACAGATATTTGGCTCAGATGATGAAAATAATACGGTGCTCTACTCTAATAAATATTTGGGTATTTACAGTTTGGTGGAAAAGAGGAGAAGCGAGAATGGGATCAATCTGGTTTCCAAGGAAAACTCTTCATCCTTTTGGTGCAACACAGAGCACAGGCTACGCTAAAACACGACCCAGAGCAGGCAGCCAACATGGCTGAAAGGAGCAGAAATCCCTATTTTATATCATCCTTCTGTTTTGAGGCTTTTTTTGGGGAGGGCTTTTTCCCACTAAACCTCACGATGCCACAGGAATCCCGCTTTTCGAGGGTTCCTTTTCCTATGATTCTAGGCTGGGAACTCCTCCTGTGGAGAAGACCCTGGGAGACTTTGCCAATACCTTGAATTTTTATTTTTATTTTCTCCTTAAAACGAACCTGGTCTTTGTCTCCGTGGGAGGACGGGGTAAAGTGCTCTTTGGTGATTCTTTGGTGTACTCCAAGGGACACATTCCGGGATGCCAAAGGTTGGGAGATCCCAAAGCACCATTTTATCCACCGGCAACGATGGAACAAAAGCGGCAGAAAAAACAAAAATCTCACTGGGTTTCCCCACCCCCCACCACCTCTGCTGCCGAGTTTTATCCGTTCAATTTTCATTTTACCAGTGGAATTCCATGGGAAATCCCTGGTGGCAGCATACAGTAGGGCTGGCTGGGGCAGCACAGCCACGGTGAGCCAAAGCCAAAGGCAAATCCCAAGGGATGAGGAGCAGGATCTGCCCTGGCCAAGCTCCCTGGTTATTTGAACCGCTCGCTCTCCACCAGTGCAAAGGTTCCCCACAAAGGGCTCCAAAATGCCCTTCCCAAAACATTCCCTGCTCCTGCAACCGCTGCTCACCTTGCACTTCCAAGGAAAAAAGGGGAATTAAATTGGCAATCGATGTTAAAACTCCCTCTGGGAGGAGAGAGCTCCGACCCGCCGGGCACAGCCGTGCAGAGAGGTCCCACTGGGGTCTGTCCATCGTTAATTAACACTAATCATCATCCATGGCACTCAGCAGCTTCTCCCTGTGGGAAGAACCGCTCCGAGGGGGGCTTGGGATGGGTTTTTCCTTCTTTTCCTACCGTGCTGGTGAGACCAGCAAGGACCCCGTGGATTTTGGGGAGCACCTGCAGCAGCCTGAGGGAGGGGGGAGGTTTGTGCATAGATACGGGACGGCCGGAGCAGCCGATCCCCCGAAAACATCCGCTGGGAGACAACGGGAACGCGCGCGGATCCGCGGCTCCGCGGGAACGGCCCCGCCGCACGGAGCACCTGGGAAGTTCTGTGGGAGGACACAGAGCGCTCAGATCCCTTTGGAACGTCCTGGATGGATCCACGTCGGGCTGGCATCCTTCTGTCTGCAGCCGGGCGTTCATCCCCGTCCGAACACGGAGAGGATCCCGGGAAAACGCGATCTTGGAAACCTCTCTTTGACAGCCACGACTCACAGCAGGTCCTGCTGCCGTCGCCTCCGGCTGCAGCGCTCCGGGAGCTGCTCCCTGCCTCCGGAATGGTTTATTGCTGGATTACTCAGTCCCCCACATCTGCTAGCAGACACTACAGAAGCGTTTTCACACGTTTTATATAGAAAGAATTTCTTTTTTAAAAAAGGCAACCTGGTGGCTTGGGGTTTGGTTGGTTGGTTGTGATGGTTTGGACCCTGGAGTTCGACAGCAAAGTCTTGAAATTCAGAGTGGATCAAAAAAATAGAGATATCCAAAAAAAAAATCAGTCAGCAGGAAATAGGCTGATTTGCATGATGCAAATGAAGTTGGATTTGGGGTAGCATTAGGTATTTACAGGTAAAAGAAGTGCTGATTGAACCCCTCTGCCCTTTTTCCAGCCTTTTGGGGGGCAAACGGCCCAGAGGGAAAGGGAGAGGGGAGGAATCCGAGCCTCTGCAAGGCAAACTCCGACAGCTCTGCCCATCAGCTGGCTCAGGTTTCCCTCTTTCCTGCCGTGGGGCTCATCCCACAGGACTCCAGGAACGATGACAAAACGTTATTCCACATTTCCGCTGAGACTCTTTCGGGGAAAAAAAAGGCAAAAAAAATGAAAGAATAAAAAGAGCGGAGAGAAACAGTGAGCGAACAGCACTCTGCCATAAAACACCGCCGTGGGAATGGGATGTCCACCCTCATCCTGCCACGTGTCCTGGGGGAGAGGCAGCGTGGGAGCCCCACATCCATCCGTGTGTCCCTCCTGCCCGGGCTTTCCCAGCGAGGAATTCAGTCCTGGTGGCTCGGGATGCGCCCGGCGCTCACTGGAGCCTCCAGATGAGGCGGATGATGTAACGCAGCAGGCGCAGGATCACCACCTGGGGGTTCCCCACCTGCTGATCCAAGAAACCCTGAAAGAGAGGGAGAGGGGAAAAAGGAAAAAAAAAAAAAAGAGAGAGAGAAAAACCAAACAAAGCGGTGACTTTAATTCCCAGCATGAAGCTCCCCCCATGCTATATAAACACCTGGAAAAAAATTCCAGAGGGACAAAGTGAAGTGTTGAACGCTTTGCAGCCAGCAGAGCTTGGGGCTCGTGACTGCAGTCAAGGAATGCTCCCTCTCCCAGGAAAAGCCTGGGACTCACGAGCCTTGCTGGGACAAGGAGTGGCTGGGTGGCGAATTGCCTGATTTCCTGGTGTCTTGTCCAAGAAACAGTGCTGGGGGGAGGCCACACCCCGGGGAACGTGACAGGGAACGCGCCGGGACCGCGCCGGGACCCGTCCGACAGCCCCGACCTGCCCGGCGAGTGCGGCTCTGGCACGGCTGCAGTTCCCCATTTCTAACCTCGGGCTGAAAGGGCAAAGCCCAGAGCCAGGGGAGGCCGGCGGGCACGAGCCCTTCCACCTTCCCCTCCGGAGCCGAGAGCTCGGGAGCAGCCAGGAGGCTTCCAGAAGGAAAAAGGACCTCTCCAGCAAGCGCGTCAGGGATGATAATTAAACAATTGCTTCAGTGCTCTGAAACTTCCCCAGTCTGGGGTGCAGGGAGTGAGGATCTGTCACACGCTGACTGCACCAGGTACAAAGTGTTTTCAGGGTCACGCATGATGTGCCATGAGCAGGAGGGACGTGTCCTCCGCATTCCCCGCGCTGGAATCGCAGCTGCGGTGCTGGGAACGGCCTCCCGCAAACCTGGGGGATGCTCCCTGCACCTCACCCGGCTGCTGCTGCCTGGGAAACACCCCTGTTCCCACTAAATTCACCCCTTATCCAGCACGGGCTTGTGGGGTGCAGCAGGATGCGCCAAGAGATTTCCAGCACCAAAGGATAATGCTGGAAGGACGTTCCTGCTCCACACAAAGTTTCAGGCATTGCTCTGGGAGGCAGGGAGGAGATGGGATGAGAGTGGTCCAGCACTGGACAAGCTCTCCAGGGAATGGTTGCAGACCCAAGGCTGCCAGAGCTCAAGGAATGTGTGGACAATGCTCTCAGGCATGGGGTGGGAGGAGTATGGACTTGGATGATCCTTGTGGGTCCCTTCCAGCTGCTTCCAGGTGCTTCCAGCTTCCTGGGCAGTCTGATCCCTCCCTTTCATTGGAAAGATGTCCCTTCATCCCAAAAAGCAGCCACTTTGCATCACAAGGGATCAGCCTGGATGGGGGAGGTGGGAAGATGCGCATTTTGGATTCTGGATTGGGATATCAGCTTATCACCGTTTTGTTGCAGGTCAGGAATGCAGGTCTTTTCCTGCTTTGGGAAAAGCAGGATCACAGCAGCTTGACCCCCATTTTATGGGAAAGCCAGCCCTGGGAGCAGGGAGGAAGAGCTGCAGGAGCTGTTTGGAAGCTGAAGAGGATGGATAAGGATCCAGCAGCCAGCATTCCATCACCAGCACTGCTCCTGGCTCCTGTTCCCACCGCCCAGCCCGAGTGGATGGAGCAAAATGCACAAGCAGGGACACGCAGCTGTCGAGACACCGGCGAGCTCCTCTTGCTTCACCCCCTGGGCTGGGCTGCCTTGGGCTTGGGATTGGGCTTTTCTGCAGCATTACTGCATCGATTTGGGTTGCAACACCCCAAGGTGAGCGAGTTTGTGGGCTTATAAAAACTCTTTCAAAACAGTCTTTGCAAGAGAATTAACTTCTGGGACCGAGTCTCTACTTTGCAGCAGTTGGGATTTGGGAGCTGGGCTGGGAATCCCACTGAATGATTCCCTAAAAGCGACAGCACTGGGCAGTGCATCCCCCAAAACCCCCACGCTTTCCCTGCCTCTTCCTTTTTAAAACTTTCACCACCGGGTCCGGGACCAACCCCAACACCTCTGTCCCAAAACCCTTGTGCAAACCTGGTGCCCTCCAGCTTCCAGCCCCGATCTCCAGGTTATTTTTAATTGATTTAAAGGTTATTTGTCATTGATTTGAGGCTGCTGCCACCGCTGATTTGCCTGGTCCAGGCCAGCCCCCGCCCGCGCAGCCTTTTCTCCGTCTGAGTGAACGAAATGCTCACCGCAGAGAGAGTTTCCAGAAATGATTCAGCCTTTCCCTCTGAGAGAAACGGAAAGCCAAGAGGGGAAAGTTACCCTGCGTGGACAATAGGAGGCATTGAACTCGTCCCCGATGCGCCGCAGCTCCTGCGCGATCCAGATCTCCGGCTGCACCTCTTCGGCTGCAGACTGGGATTGCCACCGGGAAGCTGCAAGGGATGGAACGGGAGAGTTGGAAACCCAGAAGCAAGAACAAATTCTATAGAATTTGCTACATAAAACTCTGTAGAAACCCATCAACTCCTGCCATCTTATTCCTGTTTTTTATTCCTATTATGTTTTGACTCTCTTAAACCTTAAATTATGCATGTGGGGACTCAGTGCACACAATGAACAACAGGCTTTTACTCCTTGTTATTTCTGTACTATCATTACTACTATTAGGCTTTTATTTATTTATTGTAGACTTTCCCTGGGAGCATCTCCAAGCTTTGCTCCCTCTTAAGCAGGGATAGAAGCCAAGATGCCACGCTCCAATTTCTTTCCCTCACCAAACCTCCTCTTGCCCCTTTTTTTGCTTCAGCAGCAACTCCTTCCCTAACCTTAAAAACCCTCTGCCTGGATATTTTCATCCAATCCTCACGTTTCTTCCCCAAATCATCAAGTGCCCAGCAAGGAAAACCAATGGCTTTGGCGTAGGGAGGAGAAAGCCACAGTTGGATTTGTGTGTGGAGAAACCACATTTCCAACAAATCCAAGTGCTGGCTTGAAAGAGGAAAGGAAGAGTTAATGTATTTACTATACTGCAATTGTTTAGGTCTCCATCTTAAAAAGTTATTAAACATGTGATAAATCCTCCAAATAGCCAGGGAACAGAAAGGAGACAAGGACCATGTTTGGTACCAGCACCGCCTCATCTCCCTTCCTTAAAGTTCAGGATCTGAGCAGGAACTGCAGCCTTAAGGAATATTTAAAAAAAACCAAAACAAAACAAAACAACAAGCTTAAAAAAAATAAAAATAAAACAACCCCACACAACTAAAAAAAAAAATATTAAAATTACTGCACAAAACAAAGCAGCGTTTTGGCACGCCAGTTTTGGAGGAATCACAAGGGAACAGGAATAGCTTCCAATCTTCCAAATATTCAAAGGATTAGTAGGGCAGTTAAAAAAATAAAAAAAAAAAAAAAAGAAATTAAATAAAAGCCTGGCTCCAACCTGACTGGAAAATGCATTTCCGAGCCAAGGCAGCACTGCTTGGCCGGAGGATGTGTTTTGTTTTCACGCTGTAGTAGTGGAGGAGCAGCGCCTGCCCCGAGCGCTTCTCCTGCCGCCGGTGAATGAAGCAGGCTCCATCCTCCCTCCCTCCCTCCCTCCCTCCCTCCCTCC